TAGTGGTGGTGGAACATTTGCCTATCACCCTGTACCTGTTGGACGCCTCCAGGCGCTCCCAGAGAGGACCCCCACCGAGGGCCCCGGATGCAGGATCTCCTTGTTCCCCGCCCGGCGGGCTGGGGCTGTCGGACTTCAGGAGAGGAGCCCACGCCTCGCCTCGCACGCCCTGCGTGCCAGGGCTGGACCCCAAAACGGCGCTCTGGCGAGTTCGTGGACCGCTTGCTCGTCGTGACTCCGCGGCGCAGCGAAAGCTGAGAGCGAAGACGAGACGAAGGAAGACGAAGACGGCACGACTCAGGAGGGGAAAATCACGCACAGACGCAATTCATCGTCGATTCCCAGGAAAATATGGGAAGTGGGGGGGGGAAGACGAAAACCCAGAACATAGGGGACAATATGGGGAATCCTGTTATTTGTGTCTATTTTTTTGTGTGCCCCAGGGCCCCTTCAACGAAACCGAACGACGCCGTGCTGCCGTTGCTCCCTGGGGTCATCCCGCCTCGCGTTCTCGGGTGGGGATCGCTCGCAGCAGCATGTCTGCTCCTCTGGTCCAGTGTTCGTGCACACTGCTCACGTCTCATGCTCCGAAAGGTCTTTGGTTTTTGTTGGGGGGCCCGGCTCCTTTCATTCCAAGTCGTTCTATCCTGGGCCTCTTCCTGGCCACTAGGGGGCCAGGAACAATTTGAAACGAGCACAATTAGAAATGACCACAATCAGCCGTAGCCATTTTGGCTCAAGCCTCCAGCGGCCGCGCTTCGGGCGAGGGGGCGGCGCACGACGCGCTGCTCAGGCGGAAAGCTGGGTCCTCCGCGGCGGCGCGCCTCCTGCGATGGCGGCGGCCTGGGCGGCGGGGCGCAGCGGCTGCGGGGGGCTGCCAGCCTGCTGGCAGCCCAAGCGCTCAGGCAGCAGGAGAACCTGGTGTTGGGCCCCTCTGCGGCGAGACGGGCGGCCAGGCGGCGGCGCTTGAGGGCGCTGGAGGCCTGGGGCCATGCCGTGGCGGAGCCCTGCAAGCCGGGTCATGGCATGACCGCGAGCGGGCGGCCAGGCCCGCCTTGGTCAGCGCGGTGGAGGGCCGGCGGGTGGCGGGCGCATCGCGCCGGCGCCGCAACGCGGCTATCCACGCAGCCTGGGCCCCTCCGAGCGGCTTCCTCAGGGCGACCGCCGAGGAGATCGCGGAGGTGGCGCAGGGACCCCGCCTGGGCTTTCAGCCCGAGGCGGAGGAGGCCGAGCACGGGAACTGCGACGTGCGCGGCTTCGCTGAGGCTGTCGAGAGCGAGAGCGAGCAAGAGAAGCGGGCACTGGTGCCGCTCAGCGTGGACTGGGAGGTGAAGCTGAAGCCCGACATCAGGAGGGGCAGCAAGTGGCTCGGGGTCGAGGGAAAGGTCATCCACGTCGCCGAGCTCGAGCCGAAGTTGCTCAACCTGGCGTGTTCTCTTTCCAGGGCTCCTTGGCGGCAGCGGGGGCGGAGGATGGAGGACGATGATGACGATGATGGGCCCATCCAGGAGGCGTCGGAGGACGGCGTCGGAGTGGGCAAGTTTGCTGGCACGGAGGTCGGCAGCGAGGACGAGTCGGACGGCGACGACGACTCACAGAGCGTCAACCACGTGGCGTCGGAGGGCACCGTGCTCAACGGCGGAGGTGGGCTGGCGCCAGGAGTTTGGCAGGAGGCCGACCAGCGAGCGGAGGCAAGGGCCTTCGCTGACGGTTTGGCAGCAGGCTGGCGGCTGGCGAGAGGGGCGGCCACCAGCAGGCCGCGAAGGAGGCTGTGGAGGTGGCAGCTCCGCAGGACGATGGCGACGCGTGGCGCGGGGCGATCGTGAAGTTCTTCGAGCCGTGCGAGTGCGTGTCGCTGCTGCAGGAGATGCATCTGGAGCAGCCTCGAGGTGGCGGTCAAGGAGTCGAGGGCGTTGGCATGAAGTTGGGGTCCGAGGTTGTGGACACCAGCGTCGGCGCCAAGGGCGGCGTGCGCATCTTCGAGGAGGTGCGCTGATTATTCGGGGTGGCCTAGCGGCTGCCTGCCATTACAGCTCGCGTGCTGCCGCTGCGCCGCGAAGCATTGCCACGGCAAAAAAAATGACCACAATCAGAAATGAACGACGTGTAAGGATTTGAACGTTCTCGCCTTTTCGGCCTGCTGACTTGCCAAGGCGGCCCAGGAGGCCCCGAATCTGGCTCCCAGACTGCCCCAGAGGCCCCCCGGAGACCGTGGATGCAACCCCTCCAGGGCTCTTTTCCAGAGGACAGGGACGGCCGAGAAGACCTCAGGAGGACGGGCTAAGATGGCTTCAAGACGGCCCCAGTGGCCGCCCAGACGATTTAGGCGCTCCCAGAGGGCCCCCAAGAGGGCCCCGAGAGGCAGACTTCCTCATTGTAGGAGTTTGGGATTCTCGCCCTGTCGGCCCATTGACATGCCAAGACTGTCTAAGAAGCTCTGAATACGGCTCAAAGATTGCTCCCGAGAACCCAAATTCAACCTCCCGGGGGCTCCTTTTCCCGAGGCTGGGGGCCCCCAAGACGGGCCAAGAAAGCTTCGCGAGGCTCCTCATGCCGCCCAAGAGGGCTCCGACGCTGCTCAGGAGCGTTCCGGGGTCTGCCCAAGATGGCTTGAAGACGGCCCGGGGGCTTCCAAGACACCTCCAGTCGCCGATCCAGGCGCTCCCGGAGGGCATGCAGGAGGGCTTCGAGCGGCAGCATTCACTGTTTGTTATGAGGTGTGTTGTAGGATTCTGGCATTCTCGCCTTTTCGGCCCACTGACCTGCCAAGACAGCCTGAGAGGCCTTCAGTATGGCTCCAAGATTGCCTCGGAGGCCCCTGAGCCAACCCAAGAGTGGCCCAAGGTAGCCCAAGATGCTCTCCAAGAAGGCTGAAGATCTCCAGAGGCCTCCAAGAAGGCCTAACAGCAATTCCTCCACCACCAACATCTTGGGCCATGCCTTTTAATTGGGAAAACTAGGAAATTCCAAGGCGCCCGAGGGTCTCCCCAAGACGCTTGAAAGACATTCTCGGAGGACCCCCAGAGCCCTCGACACAAGCCTTCAATATGCGAGGTCTCACGAGGCTTCTTAAAAGAGCTGGAATACACCTAAGAGGTTCTCCACGAGTTCCCGGAGGGCCCCCGAGAAGGCCCCAAGAGGGCAAATGAGAAACACTTCGGAACCGACTTCGAGCGCCCCGGGTAGCCCAGTGTGAGCGCCCTTACATCTGGGCCCCCCGAAGTCCCCAAGGGGTGCACCGACATGGGCGGCTCTGAGGCACCAGCATGATACTGCGATCGAGAACGGCACTCATGCAGGAGGAGGAGGAGGAGGAGAAGGAGGAAGGGGAGGAGGAGGAGGAGGAGGAGGAGGAGGAGGAGGAGGAGGAGGAGGAGGAGGAGGAGGAGGAGGAGGAGGAGGAGGAGGAGGAGGAGGAGGAGGAGGAGGAGGAAGGAGGACGAGGAGGAGGAGGAGGACTTGGAGGAGGGTGGAGAAGAAATCCGATCATTGTGACAGAGGGTGTTGGCCTCTCGGGGGCGCCCTCTTGGAGGATCCGTCGCCAATGGGAGCCGTCTTGGGACCTCCTCGGACGCATGCTGGAAGCAACAGCGGGCCAGGTTGTGCCATCTTGGAGGCACCCTGGGGGCTAATCAGGACCCTCGCGAAACCTCGGTCCCGATCGGGCGGCTCGCCCTCCGCGCGCGGCAGGGGTGTGGGGGGGGGGGGGGGCGGAGGAGAGGAGGAGGAGGAGGGAGGAGGAGGAGGAGGAGGAGGAGGAGGAGGAAGAGGAGGAGGAGGAAGGAGAGAGGAGGAGAGGAGGAGGGGGGTGGGGCGGAGGAGGAGGAGGGGGAGGAGGAGGAGGAGGAGGAGGAGGACCAGTGTAAACCCAAGAATCACCACCGATGTTAGAAGAACAACGTCCCTCCAAGCTCCCTCTTCACAGGCCCCTACAACGGCTCATTTCCACTGAGGGAGCTGCCTCATTGGAAAACAACCAAATCACGATTTCTGGTATTTTGATCATGGAAGTCCGCTTGAAACTTTGAAGCGTTCTGTAACAAATGTGCGCGGCACTAAGGCGATATCCACATTTTGAAAAGGAGCTGCCCTCACTCCGTGAAGCTCTTGCACATGCTCACAACGAATGTGCGCGGCGCTAGAGCGAGAGCGACACTGTGAAAACGACCCGCCCTCACTCCGTGAAACTATGGCAAATGTTTAAAACGAATGTGCGCGCCGCTCAGGCGAGAGCCACATTTTGAAAAGGAGCCGCCCCCAATGATTATGTGGCACTATTGCAGATGCTGAAAAACGAATGTACGCGGCGCTGAGGCCAGAGCCAAAAAGGAGCCGCCCTCCGCCTGTGAAACTGTTGTCCATTTTAAGCATCAGGGTCTGAAATAGTGAGGAAGTCTCAGGCGAAACGCCCAGCCCGCCTTAAAGACTGGCCTCGGGGTGCGACAGGAATGAGGTTGTTTATGAGGAAGAAGAATGGAGGAGGAGGAGAAGGAGGAGGAGGAGGAGGAGGAGGAGGAGGAGGAGGAGGAAGAGTAGGAGGAGGAGGAACGGAGGAGGAGGAGGAGGAGGAGGAGGGAGGAGGAAGAGGAGAAGGAGTGTAAGAGGAGGAGGAGGGGAGGAGGAGGGAGGAGGAGGAGGGGACGTGTGGAGGAGGAGGAGGAGGAGGAGGAGGGAGGAGGAGGAGGAGGAGGAGGAGGGGGAGGAGGAGGAGGAGGGGAGGAGGAGGAGGAGGAGGAGGAGGAGGGAGGTGGAGGAAGGGGAGGAGGAAGGGAGGAGGAAGGGAGTGAAGAGGAGGAGGAGGAGGAGGAGGAGGTAGAGGAGGAGGAGGAGGAGGGGAGGAGGAGGGGAGGGGCGGAGGAGGAGAGGCAGGAGGAGGGGGAGGAGGAGGAGGAGGAGGGGGTGGGGGGAGGAGGAAAAATGATCGGTCCAGGGGTTCCGCCGAGCGGGGTCAAAGGATGTAGGAGGCTGAGGTGGAGGGAGGGAGGGGAGGGCGAACGGGACGAGGAGGGGGGACACTTCCGCTAAGGGTCCTTTGGCCCCGAGTCTCGGGGGAGGGGCCTCTCCCGCGAGGGGCGGGCGGGCCCCTCCCCCGTCCGCGGGCGCGACGGGACCGGCGTGCTACGGACCTCAGGACGGACCAGGGCGCCGCCGAGACGGCCCCAAGACCAGGCAATATTCAGTAAAGGAACAGGTACCTATACCGCTACGCTTCCCCCGTTCTCCCCAGTGTCCGCCTCCTGGGAGGTCCTCATCTCATCGCCACCGCAAGATTTGCTTGGAAATCTGGGTCAGAACGCACCCAGGGAGAGGTCGGGGCAGTAGCGGTATCAGTACCTTTTGATTTCCCCCCAGAGATAATACAACACAGCTGGACCAGGGTATAATATTGAGGTCGGTTCGGGGAGGGTATTTTGATGTTCTGTCGTGTTTGTTGGATGTTCTCGTGCATCTTTGGGGAGGGGTGCCCTCGAGTGTTCTTCAGTTTGGCTGGCCGGCGGAGGGTCTCATGCTCTTGAGGAATGCTCTTCCCGTCCTCGGTCTGGCTGTACGGGACGAGACGAGACAAGACCTTGTAAGATACGCCAAGACAGCCTCCAGGGCGGCCCAGGATGGCCCCAAGACGCCCCAAGGGGGCCCACGAGAAGCCAGACTCTTCCAGGTGATCTCCCTCTCGCTGTTTCGCTCACGAAGGGCTCTTGCGGCCTCTAAGCGTTTTTCAGAAGACCCAGCGTGAGCCCACAACCGGGCCCTGGATGTGGCCCAGGAGAGCCCCAGAGGGCCCCAAGGGAGACCCAAAGAGGGCCCCAACCTTCTCCACGTCTGGAGAAGGTCAAAACGTCAAGCTTCCTTGGCGCCTAGACGGCCCCACAGGGCCCCTGGACGCCCCTCCCCCAAGAGTCTCCCAAGCATCCGCCAAGATGCCCCCAGGAGTGGGCGAATGGGAAAGTCTCTTAGGCGTGGAGTAGGCGGATTAGTAAACCTTCACCTGGAGAGGAAGAAGGGGATTGGAAGAGGATAAGTATAAACCACCGACGCCCAGAGGAAAGGGCTGGTGGGATTAGACGCGCTCTGGTCTGGTAACTTCAGCATGTTCTGGCGCATTGTGGTTCTATCCAGCTGCCTGCGGCAAACACCGCCACCGTGCCAGCGCAGCATCGAAAAGCATGCAAGTTGGTTCTACCGATCTTGCCCTAAATGACTCGGTAGCGCCGTCCTGGGTTCCTTGGGGTCATGTGAGAAACAGCTCGACGAAGCTGCAACGCCGTGTGGCCGCAGCATTGCATGACTGTTGTGGTGCCTCTGAAGCGCCTCGGGAGTTAATTTTGCATCTCTCGGGGCGTGGGGACCTCTTTGGGGATTCTGGAAGTCGTCCCGGGGCCCGTCGAGAGACTTGAGGCCGTCTTGGGCGCGAGGATTCGACCGAGCCCTCTGCAGAAGCGGCCCGAAGAGTCTCGGTAGAACTGCCTTGGGGCCCTCTAGTCGGGTCTTGGGGCTCTTCTGGAGCTCCGGGACCCTCTGGGATCACATGGCGGCTCCAGGAAGGCTTCCCGCCGCCCTCTTGAGCCGAAACAGTGGGAAGCCACAAAGGTTGAGCAATACTAGGTGTCATGCTTTTGTTGCTCCCCAGGCTCTGCTGGAGTGCTCCGTGGCCGCCTACTGGGGGGGTTCATGCCTGGCCCCTTGGGACCTTGGGAGTGCCTCTGGACAGTCTTGGGCCAGTCCTGGGGTGTGTTGCAGCCGTTATGGGGTGGTCTTGGGCCGTCTTGGAGCCGTCCTGGGGTGGGGCATGAAGAGCGCTCGAGAGGAGACCGCAGGGTGGGAGGGCGACTGCGTTGACTACCGGGTGCGACCACCGGGGGCAGCCTGTCCTGGAAGACGAAAGCCCAGCCAGACAGCCAGCAGGCGTTCTAGCACAACCCTTCCAGCGGTGGCGGATCTCTGGCCAGCGGTGCTTTCGCACTCTCGGCGCAGGTGCGGGAGGGCAGGGTGGCGTGCGAGAGCAAGGTCAGCGTCCAGATCTTCTTTGAGCCCGGCTGCAAATACTGTCGCCAGTATTTGGCCGGTCCAGTGGAGAAGGCCATCGCGCACGAGCCGACAAGAGGGTGCATGAACATTGATCTCAACCCTCTTGGTAATGCCTTTTACGCAGTCCCGGAATGCAATAATGCCAAGACAGGCAATGAAAGTGTACCGGCATGTGGTGGTGCGGGAGGATATGACGCGGGCATGCGCAAGTGTTTCAATCAAAGATGCGGTCCTGGAGTCGCGGTTGCAGATCGTTCTGAGAATTGTTACAGGGGCAGTTTGATTTTCCAGCACGGCTTCAAGGAAGCGTGGTTCACTCGCTATTTCGCGTGCGCCAAGCATGCTTCCTCCACGAAAAATTGGGAGAACTATGGTCAGTTCGTTCTATGTATGGAAAGAAATTATACGACGACAGAAGGCGGAGACCTGTTCGAAACGCTTATCGAGACTTGTGCCGAATCTTCAAATATTAATTTTGCTGAGATCGACAAGTGTTATAAGAGTGGAGGGGGAGAGGAGGCCTTCGAGCTTGAAGCTAGGAACATTCCTGAGCACGACGGTGTTCCTTGGATTATTGTCAACGGCGTAGTTCAACCCGAGTCCTATGACGAGAACGCGCTTCTGACGGCGGTACAGGACGCCATGGGAAACAGCTCAAAGCTACTTGATGCTCCGAGGCTGGCTGCAATACAGCAAGACCATGAACTTCTTGGAGCGCGGCGAGAAGAGCGTCGGCGCCACATTACCTGCTGACGATGACGAACCTGCTTTCGCGATCGCTGAGTCAAGCTTCGAATTTCTTGGATGATGATGATGAGGAGGAGGAGGAGGAGGAGGAGGAGGGCACGAGCCCCACAGTGGAGGCAGAGGAAGAGGAGGAGGTGCACGAACAGGACGGGGAGGACTTCTTCTGGACCCACTGCTGTTGGTCGAAGTCCCACTCTCCATGGAAGGCCAAACAAGGTCGCAGATTCCGAATTCACCGCCTTCTTGGAGAGGGTCCCTCAGAAGTCGCAATGCTAGACTCCGGAAGCCAAATCTTCTGCCCCCTGGAACCGCAGTGAGAGAAAACTTGCCTCGGGCGAAAACCTGAATTGTGGAGTCCACTCTCTCTCTTTCTCTCGTTTTCTCTCTCTCTCTCTCTGTCTTTTTTATCTCTCTATCTCTCTTTCGAATTCCAGGTTTCATCTGACCACTACCCCTGTCCACATTGCAAACATTTCTCGAGGATGAGCCCTTGAGGCGAGGCATCCTCGCATCCCCCGATTCTGGGCATGCCTGCTTCCTCGGTCCAGGGCCCAGGGATACCCTGGCATCTCGGCGCGTCCGCTGTGCCTTGCATCTGCGTGCTCGAACGGGATGGTTGATTTTTATTGCACGTTTCGAAGCAGAAAACCGCATAAGCAGAAACTTTTGGCGTTCCGCGCGGTTTTCTTGGATCCGCGCTGTGCCCCTGGCGCGCTCCGCGAGCCAGGGACGGGGGTGTGGTGCGGATCCAAGAGATCCGCGCGGAGCACCAGCAGTTTATGTTTATGCGGTGTTTGTTCTTCTCCTGGCGTTGCAATGAGAGCCCATCCCCCCTGCCGGAAGCAAAGTGCGCATGCCCACCTGCAGCGCCCAGCCCCGCCCTGGGCTTCCGCACGCAGCCGCAGCGGCCCACGCTTTGCTCGCCCTCGGAGAGAGTCGCCGTCCGCGCCCCCTCCACCGGTAAAGGCCTTTGGGCTGTGCGCTCAGGCGCCCCTCCGGAGGTCGCCGCGGCTGGCCGCACTGAACATGAATTATTGGGGGGGGGGGGGCGCGATACGACGTTTTGGCATTTTCTTAATCCTTCGAAAGTTCTTTGATCTTGGGGGCCAGGGCCTTTCATGTCTATTGTTCTATCCTGTGCCGCTTCCTGGCATGAGCGGGCCAGAGCATGCCAGAAACGAGCACGCTTGTAGAAATGAGCGGCGATCAGGAATGAACGACGTGTAGACAGAAAGGCTGCAACGAGGGGTCCTTGTGGCCCAGAAAGGGGGCCCTCCAGGGGCGTCCGAGAGAGGGGCGCTCGTTCTTCCCCCGACCCACTGCTCGCCCCCGCATGAACTAGTTTCCAATACAAAGCCCGATTGCAAACGCGTGGTCATTAGAATCCTTTGTAAAGCTCCCAAGAGGAATCCTAGTGTAGAGGCTCCAATCAGAATCCTCTTGTATAGGCTCTCAATTAGGAATCCTTTTGTTATTACTTCTCCTATAGGACGCCGATATTGCAACGGGTTTGTCATTAGAATCTTTGTAAACGCTTCTCAATCGGAATCCTATTGTAGAGGCTTCCAATCAGAATCCTTTCGTATAGGCTCTCAATAGGAACCCTTGTTTATTAGTTTCCAAGAGGACGCAGATTGCAACGGGTGTCATTATAATCCTGTTGTAAACGTTCTCGATAGGAATCCTAGTGTAGAGGCTTACATGATAATCCTCCTGTATAGGCTCTCAATAGGAACGCTTTTGTATTAGTTACCGATAAGAAGCCGATTGCAACGGGTGTCATTCGAATCCTTCTGTAAACGCTCTCAATAGGAATCCTATTGTAGAGGCATCCAATCAGAATCCTCTTGTATAGGCTCCCAATAGGAATCCTTTTGTATTAGTTTCCAATAGGAAGCCGATTGCAACGGGTGTCATTAGAATTCTTTTGTAAACGCTCTCAATAGGAATCCCACTGTAGAGGCTTCCAATCAGAATCCCCTTGTATAGGCTCTCAATAGGAATTCGTTTGTATGAGTTCCCAATAGGAAGCCGATTGCAACGGGTGTCATTAGAATCCTTTTGTGAACGCCTTCAATAGGAATCCTATTGTAGAGGCTTCCAATCAGAATCCTCTTGTATATGCTCTCAATGGGAATCCTTTTGTATTATTTTCCAATAGGAAGCCGATTGCAACGGGTGTCATTAGAATCCTTCTGTAAAACGCTCTCAATAGGAATCCGATTGTAGAGGCTTCCAATCAGAATCCTCTTGTATATGCTCTCAATAGGAATCCGTTTGTACTAGTTTCCAATAGGACGCCGATTGCAACGGGTGTCATTCGCATCCTTTTGTAAACGCTCTCAATAGGAATCCTAGCGTAGAGGCTCTAATCACAATCCTCTTGTGTATGCTCTCAATAGGAATCCTTGTGTATTCGTTTCCAATAGGAAGCTGATTGCAACGGGTGTGAATAGAATCCTTTTGTGAACGCTCTCAAGAGGAATCCGATTGTAGAGGCTTCCAATCAGAATCCTCTTGTATAGGCTCTCAAAAGGAACGCCATAACTTTAGGACACATCTGAGAAACAAAAACAAAGAATATTCACTGCGTGGGGATCCCCATATGTGCATCTCCTTGCTGGCGCTCCCTTGGTGGTGGGACTCGGTGAGGACGAATCTGGATTTAAGTGTGACTGAGCTGCCTCTCTCTCTCTCTCTCTGCTCTCTCTGTCTCTCTCTCTCTCTCTCTCTCTCCGCCCTCTCTCTGTCTCTGCCTCTCTTTCCCTGCCTCTCTCTCTCTCTGCCTCTCTCTCTGCCTCTCTCTCTCTGCCTCTCTCTCTCTCTGCCTCTCTCTCTGTGCCTCTCTCTCTCTGCCTCTATCTCTGCCTCTCTCTCTCTCTCCTCTCCCTCTTCTCTCTATTCTCTCTCTGCTCTCTCCTCTCTCTCTCACTCTCCCTCTCTCTCTCTCTCGCTCTCTCTCTTCTCTTCTCTTCTCTTCTCTTCTCTTCTCTTCTCTTCTCTTCTCTCTCTCTCTCTCTCTCTTTCTCTCTCTATCTCTCTCTCTCTCTCTTCCCTCGCTCTCTCTCTCTCTCTTCTCTCTCTCTCTCTCTCTCTCTTTCGCTCTCTCGCTCTCTCTTGCTCTCTCTCGCTCTCTGTCGCTCTCTCTCTCTCTCTCTCTCTCTCGCTCTCACTCGCTCTCTCTCGCTCTCTCTCGCTCTCCCTCGCTCTCTCCCGCTCTCTCTCTCTCTCTCTCTCTGCTCTCTCTCTCTCTCTCGTCTCTCGCTCTCTCTCTCTATCTCTCTCTTCTCTTCTCTTCGCTTCTCTTCTCTCTCTCTCTCTCTTCTCTCTCTCTCTCTCCCCCCCCCTCTCTTTCCACTTTCTCTCTCTCTCTCTCTCCTCTCTCTCTCTCTTCTATATCTATCTCTCTCTCTCTCTTCTCTCTTCTCTCTTCTCTCTCTCTCTCTTCTCTCTTCTCTCTTTCTCTCGCCTGTCTCCTCTCTCAACTCCCCCCCTCTCTCTCTCTCTCCGCTCTCTCTCTCTCTCTCTCCTCTCCCTCTCTCTCGCTTCCTCTCTCTCTCTCTCTTGCTCTCTCTCTCTCTCTCTCTCTTTCTCTCCTTCTCTCTCTCTCTCTATCTTCCTCTCTCTCTCTCTCTCTTCCTCGCTCTCTCTCTCTCTCTCGCTCGCTCGCTCGCTCGCTCGCTCTCTCTCTCTCTCTCTCTCTCGCTCGCGCTCGCGCGCTCTCAGCGCTCGCGTCGCGGCTCGCGGTCGCGCGCTCTATCCTCTCTCTCTGCGCTCTCTCTCTCTCTCTCTCTCGCTCTCTCCCGCTCTCTCTCTCTCTCTCTCTCTCTCTCTCCTCTCTGCTCTCTTCGCTACTGGCTTCTGACGGAGTCTGGGTTAGGTGAGCCTGAGTGTGGGTGAGTCTGAGTATGGGTACGTCTGTGTGTGCCTGACTCTGAAGAAATGAATCTGAGGGTGAGTGAGCTTGTGTATGAGTGAGTCTGGGTGCGAGTCTGAATCCCAATGGTGCCCCTGGCAGTGTCTGGCGACTAGGAGGCCCGGGTCGACTCCTCTTTGGGAAGCCAAAATGTTGCCCCTGGCAGCGTTTGGTGACTATGAAGCCCCTGGTGGACCCCCCCTGGGGCTCCCAAATGATGCCCCTGGCAGCGTTTTGTGACCATGAGGCTCTCAAGAGATACATGTTGGGGAGGCCAAACGGCAATTCTAGCTGAGGCGTCCCACCAAAATCGGCGCGAACGGGCTCGTGAGATCAGCCAGGGTGGCTCCCCCTTGGGGCTCCCAAATGATGCCCCTGGCAGCGTTTTGTGACCATGAGGCTCTCAAGAGATACATGTTGGGGACGCCAAACGGCAATTCTAGCTGAGGCGTCCCACCAAAATCGGCGCGAACGGGCTCGTGAGATCAGCCAGGGTGGCTCCCCCCTTGGGGCTCCCAAATGATGCCCCTGGCAACGTTTTGCGACCATGAGGCTCTCAAGAGATACATGTTGGGGGCGCCAAACGGCAATTCTAGCTGAGGCGTCCCACCAAAATCGGCGCGAACGGGCTCGTGAGATCAGCCAGGGTGGCTCCCCCTTGGGGCTCCCAAATGATGCCCCTGGCAGCGTTTTGCGACCATGAGGCTCTCAAGAGAGACATGTTGGGGAGGCCAAGCGGCAATTTTAGCTGAGACGTCCCACCAAAATCGGCGCGAACGGGCTCGTGAGATCAGCCAGGGTGGCTCCCCCTTGGGGCTCCCAAATGATGCCCCTGGCAGCGTTTTGTGACCATGAGGCTCTCAAGAGAGACATGTTGGGGAGGCCAAACGGCAATTTTAGCTGAGACGTCCCACCAAAATCGGCGCGAACGGGCTCGTGAGATCAGCCAGGGTGGCTCCCCCTTGGGGCTCCCAAATGATGCCCCTGGCAGCGTTTTGTGACCATGAGGCTCTCAAGAGAGACATGTTGGGGAGGCCAAACGGCAATTTTAGCTGAGACGTCCCACCAAAATCGGCGCGAACGGGCTCGTGATATCAGCCAGGGTGGCTCCCCCTTGGGGCTCCCAAATGATGCCCCTGG